CGTCCCCTACAACACGCATGCTCTATGATTGGTGTGATGTTGTAGTGCAAAGCTTTTCACTGCTCATGATATCAAAATCACAGAAACAAACATTTGGAGAACTTTTTCATCGGTCTATTTGTTATGCACTGTACCACTCTGCGCAGGTTCAAGCACATTTACAATCAGCAATAAGTTACACCGTCTCTAACTACCTTGGTCTTAACCTTAACAATGAAGAGTATGGAACGTACAACCAAAAATAAGAATTCCTTGAGTATGTTTTATTTCCCATATTACAAAGGATTTAAATATAGCAAGTGTCCAGTCGGCTGAATACCAAGTACATAAGCAGACATTTATATGTGAGGGACAAACTTTAGATTAATTGAAAAGTAGAAAGTGACAGCCACAGTTTCCCCAGGCTTCCAGCAGAATTGTAGAAAAGCAGTGCAGCATGACTAAAAGAACTGCCACTGATATTACAGGACCCAGCTACAGGTATAGCCAAGAGATCACAGATCTGTTCCTTTGCTGCAGCAGAAATAAGATATCTGCTCTGCTATAGCAAGGGGCCAGGCCCTTATAGTGGATGTCAACAACATTAAATTAATATCCAACCTGACAGTAGAACTGGAGCCAATGAGCTGAGTCAGACTTGGGAGAAAGAGAGTCTATATGATTGGTATGAGTTAAGAATCTAGGCAGTGCATTCTGCGATGGCTGCAGAACAGAGCATGAAGAGAGATCAACAAAGAGAGCTTTGCGATAGTCCAAGCGGTAAGAAACAATAGCAAGAACAAGAATTTCAGCGTCAGTGATACAGTGTTCAGGGTGGACCCAGGCGGTTTTATTTTCCTGTGGTATGAGAGAGTGGTTTGCTGTCATTGTTGTTATTGAAAGTGAACAAGGGCCTTAGAAACAATACAGCAGAAGAGACTGTAGACTTCCATACACTGGGCACTGGAAAAACAATTAGAACATTTTCTAGCAACTGATTTCTAAAAGAAAAAAAGTATTCTCCTTTATTTAGGTGTTCTCAACAAGTGCACTACCAGGCATACAGCAGGTAGGCTTCATCCCCACACGGTCCAATACCTTTGTGACCTACTAGAACCTTACAGTACATAAAGAAACGTTTCTGTTGCCAAAAAGCATATGATTAATAATCTTCTAAATATCTTTAAGGACACCATTTAATTTTAAAATCAAACAATTATTTCACATTTTAATTCAAGGAATGGATTACCAGTAAAATTCTTATTTTTCAGGGCTTTCAGAAAAAGACTTTCATGTTGTGAATTATAAACCTGTTACCTCCACAAGTAGTAGTTGTGGACATTTCGAGCATCTCGTTTGCCCTGAACTGCAGGTCAACTCATTCTGTTTCGGACTAGCTCTGTTCTTCAATGAAAACAAACTGCAGGAACGTTGTTTATGCTGTTGTAATGATACTGTAAGTACAGTACATCTGCAGAGGAGGAAAGTTTTTTTTTGCCAAAAAGGGGTGATCACGTCAAAATTAAATATTGTGCCCGATCAAGCTCTTAAAGTTAAACTTTTCCAACGAAACCTCTTTTCAATGTGTTGGGCAATTCAGAAACACGATTCGTTCCTCATCATACAAAGCAAAGGCAGAACTGTTTTCAGTCAGGGTAATGCTGAAGGGGTATTACTACATGTGCCCAAGTCCTCACTGCAAGGCCAACAGAAACCTAACCTGATTATTTCCCTGGACCCATACGTGGTCTGAAGCATTTAATGGATTCCTAAGCCATTTACCTGCAAGCAGGCAAAAACCATGTATAGATGTTATGGATATGATTTCATATACCTGTCTATTCAGTTTCTCTTTACATCAGGGCCATTTTGGACTTTACAATATTTTGCAACACAGCTTTTTTTTTGTGAAGCGAATTCTGATAAACTGCGGAGACGTCGATAGCACTCTTCAAGTTTGAACGTATTCATCTGAGACAGAAGAAAATCCTCTCTGCTGGTAGGAGACAGGGGGCTGGGGAAGGTGGCTAAGCGCTGTTTACCAACGGGGGGATTACCAGAGCAATCCAGGTGCTGCGTTTACAATGCTTGATCACTTCTTCAATTTGAAATTAAAATCTACACTTGGAAATTAATGAAACTGATCTCAGAGGTGACTTGAACTCAACTGGCACATTCGTTCATAATGCCTTACCTCTTTCTCAATCTTTGAGCGACATAATTACCTCAAGTTTGAACCCCCCACATCTCCACCTAATAGTATTACACTAACAATGCCACACATTAAATAACAGACCTCAGGGAGGGCATTATGTGGATTAGCAGAGCAAACTGCAACACAATTTATTGTCACCGCTGTGCTCATCCTTTTTTTGAAAGCCGTCACTGCTAATTACTGGGAAGCCATTTCCCAACTGCAAACAATCAACGGCTTGCATGTATATTGTTGTCTGGGAACACATCCAAAACCCAGACGGGCTTTTACGTCTGGAGGTTTTTCACCTGTGTATTTCCAAGAATCAACTTTGTTGAGCACGGGTGCAAATGAACAATTTTACAAAGGCTGCCATGTAAGTACAGGAGTAAAATCTATTCAGAACACTGCCTTTATCGCAACAAATCCATCATGAATAGCTCTTTCTAGTAATTCCCTGGTAGAATAAAAGATGTAGCAGATTAGCTGAATTGGAGTGATAGTAGTAGTTACAATAGCAGTTATGTTATTTTTTTTTGCAGGAGTCCCTACAGACTAATATATTACTCTGGCACTGAGTTTGTAGAACCGATTGTTACCAGAGTAATAATTTTTTACCATTTAATGTCTGCCGTCACATGAGGAAGACTCAAAAGATTTCAGTCATCTGAAAAAATATGGACCTGGACTGTAACTTCTTTTCCTTGTTAGAGGTGGTTCTGGATGCAGTTAAACTGATTAATGTAACAAATGGATGAGAACCGTGAACATGTATAAAAATCGGATTATTGAGTTTTTTTATGCTCAAGTACAGTGCTGAAACATATCCAAAAATAAATTTACCAGAAGGTCATGTGCTGTGCATTTCCACAATGGTGACCCATTGTAATAAAAGTAATTAAAATGAAACATCAGTTTGCAGTTTGGGTTGCCGTCGTCAAACAATTAAGTTTTAATTTTAAGAAAAAGATTTATTTACTAGACTTCTTTGTTTAATTTGGAACCAGATATATTCCTGACTAACAACTATGCCGATTGACTGTATAGTAATGAAAATGTACCCTACCACTCTACAAAACCAGACGTTGTAGAAGTAACAACAAATGAACAAAGTACATAGGTTAGTTTCTTTACAAGAAACTGCAATTGTTTTGACAGCAGATACCCATAAATGACGTGTTATCAGTTAGACGAACACAACCCAGCTAATTCTGTGAAAAATGGCATGGGTCAACATTTGTCCCAGAATGCAATGTGACAGACACTCACACTCACAACAAAAATAAACAGTTTGTATCTGCCACAATAAAATAAAAATTGAACCAACAATCAGCACACACCATTAATAGTCTACATAAATGTATATTTTTTACTCTATGCACTTACATTCAATGTTTAAAAAGAGTGTATTTTAAGGGAGTTTTTAAGAGAACTCTGATTTTTTAAAATGTAAGAAAATAGTCAGATTAGCCCAAACACAGCACAGGTTCTGTACTTTCTAAATCCAAATTTTGCTTGTGCTAAATGACAAAAACATTAAGACATTCCAGTAATGAATTTGAGTAAATTACCAAAATAATTGTATTACCCCTAAGTAGAAAAAATATATAATATAGGGACAGAGAGACAGTTTTTTCTTTGTCTTTTCCGGAAGAAACAATGTTCTTCATGCATTGAAAACCATCTATAGTTCAGTGATATCCAAGTCTTTTGACCTATATTTGTGACTGTTTTCAATATTGCTTTAACAGCTAAGGATCTTCATTTTTTTGACATTTCCTTCACGCCTCACTAATCTAGTGTTTTGCAGCTCTAAAATATTATACAATGTTGAAGGAGCACCTCAGAAAGAAACGATTGCTTGTTGTTCATGTGAGTTATCATCTAAACCATGAAACGATCGCTTCAAAAAAATGTAATCACTGCTTTGGTCACGGAAACTTCATAGTTAATTTTTTTTAGATATCGCTACCCATTCTAGTTTTACACAGATCAGATTTAGGAAGTTTTGGTTTTGAACGGCTAATAGAATTACAAGCAGGATAAGGTTTATTTGGTGCTGAGTGCATTTTATTTGGTTTGAGATCTGTAATATTTAAGGCTATTCCTTTCCTCTAAAAGATTAAAATATCTACTGTGTCCATTTTCTAAGGAGTACCTTGGGGCTATTGTTTTTCATCATTTTTTTAAATGATCATGAAGACATTCTTATCTTTTTTTAAGAAGAATCGTCTCAAACTCAAAACTCAAAACCGCACAGATTCCTCTCTCTCTGTCTGCAGTGTCATTCCACTGGCTTTATAACGTGTTCAGCTTAATGAACGGACCTGTTGTCATCCTCAGATGCTCAAACTTGCTTCCTCTGAGACCTGCTTGCAGCTCACTAGCCTCAGAACGGCCGGTTCCTGCTCACAAAGCTCCCAGACAGAGGAGATGGGTGAAAGAAGATTTAGTAACCCCTTGCAGCTGACAAAGTGAAATAATAATGCACATGAAAACAGTTACTGTTGTCAAGAGAAACACCAATGGATCCTTGAACCCTTTTGAACTAAGATCTTTTGAAAGGGAACGGATGTTACAGAACTTTGCCCACAGGTGAACATAACAATAAGCTTTCCTCTTAAGGCACAGGAGCCATCCTGTATACGGATATACAGCATGTCAACCAATCTGGCTCCATCTGCTCTCTGTACAAAGTCTAGGTGGTCATGCAAATCGAGATTGAATAATTTCCCCCACTCAGGCTAAAGAGCTCTCTGCCGACTAGGTTTCACCTCCGAAGGCAGCGGATCAGCACCTGCGAGCAGACGCCCACCACAACCCTCACCTGCTGGCCACGCTCTGTCGGCAGTGCTGCCTGAAAGGCATCAGGTGGTAGTTCATGGCATCCAGGAGCAGCTTCTGGCAGACGGGGTCGCTCCTCATGAAGTCCACTGACTGGACCCTCTCCACCAGCTCCGGGGCGGGAATCAGGGCGAAGCGGAGCCTCTTCATCAGGTCGGGGGCGTACTGCATGCGGGTTTCCCGGTCGTGCTCCAGCCACAGCACGGACATCTGGAAGAGGGCGAGCTCCGACTCCACGGGGGGCGGCAGGGAGTCCAACATGGCGCACATCTCCTCGAAATTGAGCAGCAGCACGTCCTCCACCAGGTACTTGTTGGCCAGCTTTTTGGTCTCGTCCAGCCCGTGGAGCGCAGCGATCTTGCAGATCTGCTTGTAGTTTTGCACGGAGATCTGGTCGTTGAGGAACTGCACGCACAGCTTGGTGACCTGAGGGATGTTGAGGATCTTGCTGACAGACAGCACCTCTTCCACAGTGTCCAGGGACAGGGTGACATTGGCAGTGTACAGGTACTCCAGGACCAGCCTCAGACCGATGGAGGAGCAGCCTTGCAGCACCAGGTTGTTGATGGATCGGGGGCTGGCCACTAGCTTCTCGTCAGGGGAAGAGGAAGGTGTCCCACCACTCCCCTGGTCCTTGTTAGAAATGCCCTCGTTGTTGAGGGGGTGGCTGGAGAACAGAGACCTGAAATACTGAGAGCAGGATGCCAGCACCGCTTTGTGGCAGTGGAACTGGTGTCCCTGGGCAGTGAGCGTCACATCACAGAAAAGCTGCTTTCTCCACAGCAGGTTGAGACCGTGCAGGAGGGTATCGCTGTGAGTCGGGTCAAAGGTGGATGTTCTATCACCAGATCTGGACATGGCTACCCGGCTGTTAACCCCACCTAATCAACAAAATAGACACAACATTGTACCTTCATATCGGTCCTTCTCACCCTTTATCACCTTTATGCCTTTGTATAACAGTTACAGTACATCACAGTCACAGCAGCATCTTCTCTCAACATACGCAATCATTAAATCTCAGTAAAGTTTTCGAATCCAGGAGCGTGTTTTTGTTATTCGCAACCAACGTCTGACCCGCACACATGTAGTGACCTCAAATAGCGTGCCCTCAATTAAAAATTAAACAAGCTGCAAACACAAAAATCATATTTTGAAGCTGCCCCAGAGTTAGCCTGATCTTTCGAGGATTCAATGTTGTTCCGGTTTTTTTTTTTAAATGTTTCATTAGTCCCGGAAAATATGACACAGCTCGTTAATCTTCCGAGCCTGACAACGTTGTTGTTGTTATTTTTTCCTACTTTTTAAATATCTACATACAATTCCACTCAATTTGTCTTTTAGGCGAGAAATTCTAACGGACGCTACGGCTTGGAAAGCAAAAAAAAAAAAAGAGAGAGAGAGGGGATATTGCAGCACCTTCCTGAGCAACGTAACAGAAGTTGGTCGTGGAAGGAAAAAAAAGCTGTATCCTCTCGTAAAGCTACAGAGTAGTTCCGTCTGGTATTCAAGCACCTTACTCTGTTTTAAGCCAGCCTTACTGCACTCCTTCCGTATAGGAAACGTGAGCCTATTCTACACACATAAAGAGGTACAAAAACACCGCGCTCCTACCAGGGTCATTGCTGCTAAACGTTTATTATTCTCTTGTTTATGATTACTTGCTGTAAACAACCCCACAGACTTAGGGTTAGCTCAATTTGCTATAGTCAAGACAGAGACACTCGAAAGACCCCTGTTCATTGAAGAAATTAACTTCGCAGACGTTAAGGGAGCGCTTTCAGATCGGCACGTTTAGCCTTAGCATTGATCCGGGTATATGAGACTGTCTTTTTAATTTAAATCTGACAGCAGGTACCATCTGGTTTCGCTGTCGCTTTTAGCACACAATCTAAAAAAGGCGCTTGCCACAACTAAACAATGTGAGTATAGAAACACAGGCCAAACTTACCTGAACACCAGCTTGGCAAAAAGTAAGCTTCACGTCCTCAAAGATTGTGACTTTTCTTTCTTTCTTTCTTATTTTAATCAGTCCTCTCCCCTTTGAAGACTATGTTCGATTCCTCCAAAAAAAATATTCTTGATTCCAACTCCTGCGGGGACTATTTTACATTTTATTTTTTGTCGTTGATCATTTGCTCTCCTGAATTAGCAAGAAGTGTGCGAGTGTGTGAGAGGGAGCAGAGCTTTCTGCAAGAGAAGAAGAAGAAGAAAAAAATGTACGTGTGACAAATTATGCTACCAAGAAACAACACATCATTATCCTTGGGCCTGGGGCTCAGTGAGTCGTAACGAGAGTAATAGGAAAACCACGGTTGGGGAGAGAAACGGTCGTGCATGGCCGGTGGAGAGAGACCGTGCAGGGGGATGGATGCTGGAGAGACTCGCAAAATTATGGCTCAAGGCTATTGTAAAAACTGTCGAGCGTAAATGACTGCGATTTCAAACATCTTTGGAAGAAAGGAAAGAGAGAGAGAGAGAGAAAAAGCGAGTCTCTCCCTCGCTCTTATGGAGAGAACCGTCAAGTTTTAGTGCGCATTGCTAATTAGTCAATTTCTCTCTGCCTTCACAGCCTGGCGACTTTGCTGCTGAGCTGAAACTGCTAATTTCTGGGACCAGCCTTTTTTTTGGCTGTGATCTGGATGGATGAATAGCTTGTCTCGCTACAGATGACAAAAACCTCTGCTTTAATCTCCATCGCCAAAATATTACCCTTCATCTCTTTCTGCTGCTGCTGCTGCTGCTCTGTGGATGGGAAGTGCTCTGTGCAATCTGCTAACTTTCGCGGCGCACCTGCAGCAGGCGGGCTTACTGGGCGCAGGAGAGAGGAGATAAGATTAAAAAATAAATAATGAAGTAAATAAATAGAACTTGTCCCTCCTTTGCACTGGTCTGCGTTCTTCACTGTGCAAAGCCATTTCCAAACTTTTATACCACTTTTCAGCGCATGGTCACAAGCATTAAATTGTATATAAAGTGTGTAGGCACGACATAATGATAACACAAATTCTGAACCACGGCATTTCCGATGCAAGTTCTTTTATGCCTGTGCAAATAAATCTTCAGCGGAAAACTGATCAACCAGATGTGTTTTTGCAATTATCATAAGCTACCATCCTTGAATCAAAGGGAAACTGTGAATACGCTAGACCATGGAGACTACTGTCAATCAAGCTATTCTGCTTTGGTATCACAGAGAAAAAATAATAAAATTGCATATGTATGTACAAATATATAATATTATATAAACAGAGAAGGCTACACACATTAGATGGGTTTACTATTATTGTATATTTTAATATTGTAGTATCATCAATAATACGTATTACACAGTAAGTAAACAGATTGAACAGTTTCTTCTTCATTTATTAACACTTTATCTTTACAAAATCAATGCTTTGGAGTGCAATCACATTCTACAGCCCAGCATCCAATAATGCATTCCAGAGTTGTAAGCTACCTTAACTTTCATTTGCAAGGAAATACTCCGTTTTTAAGAAGGATAACAAAAATAAAATCGTAGTTACCTATTTTATCTATTATTTTATTGTTATTTTGTGAATGCTACATAGGACGTTTCCCTTTCTGTTAACTTTTCTCAAGATATCTCTCCTTCTCTGGGGGCAAATTGCCTTTACTTATATATTTTTTTTTTTAAATCTGTGTTTTCTGATGGATTATGAATCTGTCTATTAGAAGTAAAGATCTAATCTGCTCATAAAAATGTAAGGGATGTTTAGCTAACATTACAACCTCCCATAAACAAAATCTCAATGTACTGTATGTTAAATAATTAACATTTACTTGATAAATTTATCTGGGGTATTTTGAAATCGATATATGCAATATCTGCTAAAGATATCAGCAGATCTCTCAGGTTTGGAATTGTTCACATAGGGTGACAAATGATTTTTGCTCAAGACATGAGTTATGTGTTATCTATTGGTATCAGCAAGGCAGCAGTGGCAGTGAAACCTGATGTCTATAATGAACTGACCCAGCCACAAGTCAGCAAACTGGTGCTTTTTTCCCCAAGCAGCAAGTCTAGCCACTATAGGATGTTACAGGGCATTTGGCCTGCACTGTTAAAGACCTGAACATGTTCTATAGGCTCCATGTCCAGGATTACCGCTAGTCAAGTTAAATAAAGCGTGACTATTCCTTCACTGGAGGAGTGGCACCAAATAAAGATAATGACTCTAGCACCATGATGACAAGCAAAGATTCAAGAGACAGAGCTGGCTGCTGCCCTGCTTCTATTTTTCTAAAACGCTCTTGGATGGCTAGGCGTCTCTCTATGAGAATAATCTGGTATTGTAATATTGTAAGCCACAGTTCGAATGGGATTCTTAATAATGTCTTCATCTGCAGGTCTGTCACACGCCTGCCAAGATGCCATGAAACCATAAGATCCAACAGAGGGGGGTGATGAACCTTTGCAGAACGTTTTTGATATTCTCCCACACTAGGACAAGGTCCATCATTGATCTTGTGCGTGCCAGTCACACCAGGCCTGCCGGTGTCTTATACTGTAGGCATGATGAGAGAACAGTAGTGTCGAGGCATCTGGGGCTGAAGAGATTTCTCAGGTCTCGGACTCTCGGGACCTGCTGCACTTGTCAGTGTTGCGCTGTGAGTTGTGAGTCACACAGTGCTTTAATCTAAGGCGGGCTCGATGGTGCTTGTTGCTCCTTGGATGTCTACTACAAAAGTCCTGTTTTGCCATAAGAGACAGGTGAGACACTATGAGATGTGAAGTCGTGAGGCCATTACCAGAGCTTTTTAATACAAGGACTCACAGCCATATCTCTTTCACTAGGCAGAACTCATTGACCTACTGTACTAACAGCCGGCAAAAGCTTAGAAAAACTCAAATAAACATGGAAAAGAAAAAAGATATATAATTGCGTGTCTACATTATCTGCAATTAGTTTGTCTTTATTTGTGTATCTAGTACAGTTCACCAGCCCTCTGCTATCATCATACTTGCCTCGCACAAACCAGTGCCTCCAACGCCTGCTTTTGGCTAATGGGATGGCATCCTGTACTGTGGGGGTGAGTGTTTCACTGGTGTCAGTCTGAAGCTTTCCTATTGCTTTGAAAGAAGTACAAGAATGTCTCTCTCCAGTAAAAAGACAAAACATGATCAGTTCTACTCATGCTCACGATGACTGTCTCTTCGTACCCCTATGAGTCTAGTTTTTCTCACATGAATGTGATAAAGGGCAACATATACTGTATACTGTAATTCCCCGGGCAGCAACACTGACTCTGAATAACACAAGCCTGCCTTCAGTCATACAGGCCAAGGGAAGTGCATTATTTTGTCTAAATTGACTGTTTAACTGCAATATCTATGACATGCATTCGATTCATTCGTCCAACAGGGAAGGTAGCTGCTCCAGAGTGAATCTAAGTTGAAATGACTGAGACAGCTGTGATTGAGCATAAGATGAACAAGGCGCTTGCATTTTTTCTGTATATAGTACTGTATTTCCTTTTTGTGCATTTGCTCAAGTTATTTTTGGAGTTCTTTTTTGCACTGTGCTGTTGCTTACACACCAAGTATTCACAATACAATGTTAATGAATAGTCAGGCGACATTGCTCATTTTAATATTTTTTCTTTCTATTTTGTTCTTTAACCTATCAGTACCTGGATGGGAGACCTCCTAGGACACATGCGGTCCATGTGGGTCCTAATGCCCCAGTATAGTGATGGGGACACTATACTGTAAACAGGTGCCGTGCTTCAGATGAGATGTAAAACTGAGGTCCTGACTCTCGGCGGGCATTAAAAATCCCTACTCTTTTTTAGAAACACCCTGGGATTTTTAATGCCCACCGAGAGTCAGGACCTCAGTTTTACATCTCATCTGAAGCACGGCACCTGTTTACAGTATAGTGTCCCCATCACTATACTGGGGCATTAGGACCCACATGGACCGCATGTGTCCTAGGAGGTCTCCCATCCAGGTACTGACCAGGCTCACACCTGCTTAATAATGTTAATGTTAATGTTGCTGTTGCTTTATTAGCCCCATACAATTTCTTGCATTAGGAATTAGTCTTTTCGCATACCCCAGCTTGCTCTCCATGAGACACTGACACACAGACAGGGAGAGAAGCTTGGGGTCAGAGCGCAGGGTCAGCCATTGTAGAGCACCCCTGGAGCAGTTGGGGTTAAGGGCCTTGCTCAGGGGCCCAACAAAGTAGAATTCCTCTGCCGGTTGTGGGATTTGAACCGGCAACCTTCCAGTCACAGGCATAGATCCTTAGCCACAGAGCTAGTTGGTGGGTAGCCAGCTGTGAGTTGCAGGGTGATATAGCTTTTACTAGAAAATGTTACTCAACATGGGGACTAAAATGGGACCATTGTACGCATGCTGATTTTCAGAATCTGTTGAAAAATGTTAAAATGAAAAAAAAACTAAAACAACAGCACCACAGCATTCATTTACAGTATGGTATCTTTGGTATCTCTGTAAGTTCCCGTGAAGCATTGTAACACTTATTTCAAGTAGTAGCAAAGTTCCATCCAGCTTTGGCAAACACATGGAGCTGTTTAAAACCTGGCAACAGTTTTTAATTCTTTGGCTTTTCTGTCACAGTTTCAGGTTCCGCTCTTAACACAAGCAAACACCCCTAGATGGCTTGCACACTCCTTATACCCCGCTTTTAAGATTCAGTCACATTTGCAGCAATAATCAAATAATTAATAAGCAACTAATTCAATCAAAAGACAGAAAATGTTGTTTTAAAAAATTGGTTTTCCAAAGGAAGAAAGGCTTTACAGATAAGAACAAGAAACTTCTGTGTGATAAAAGAAGTTCTCTGCTCCTCAGCCACTGTTTCAGAAGAAGAACATTGGTAGCTGAGGAGCAGAGCGTAATCCTAAAAAAATAGCTATTTAAAACACCACCACTGATGTCAGGTAGAAGGGATGGGCACCTAAAAGACTACTTGGCCAAGTTTGGACTGTTGTGTAACTTGTTTGTGTCCCTTATGGAAGTTTTCTTTTGTTGTGTTCCTTTTCTGAAGTAAAGAGATGGTGATTCTTATCTTAGTGCAACTGCTAGCAGAATCGTATTAGAATTATTGATTCTAGCTGTTTTCTGGTGGTCTGTCATTGCACTGGTGGTTTGAGGGAATTGAACGGCCTCTATGGGGAGAAGGGTTCTAGTACCTGTGTATTTGCACAATTAAATAGGGGACACAGTTGGCTACAGTTCCCAAAAAGTGTCTCTACTATGAAAGGTACACAAAAGTTTTGATTGTGGTTTTTCTGCTCGGTGGTTACGTTTTATTTGTAAACAGCTGAAGCATCTTTGTCTGAAATGCCCTGAAACAACTCTAGGACTAGATCTTGTGCAGGAGGAGATTAGAGAGAGACTAAAAAAAGAACAGTGGTCCTATATACTCCTTATTTCTATTTTGCTGTTTCAAATGATCCAAATCTTGCTGATATATGATTATATAAACAAAACTCTTTATTGGTATACAACATTGTGTGGCATTCAATACCACACTGCAGCCAGTGTAATGAAAAATATAATATAAAATATATAAATATAAACCCCATATAATAACGAGGTTCCATTCGAGTTTTACCTGAATAATTTCAAAGCATTTGCAAAACAAACATACCAAGCCCCACCACAGCTCAAGTTTCATTTCTAGGCAATAAAACAGGTTAGAGATCTTCATGAAATAATGGATGATCTTGTGAATCAAATCAAAGCTTTTAC